CCCCAAAACCCCAAAACCCCGTGGCGATATTTTACAGGTTAGATTTGGTTTAATTAAGAAGAGATTTATTTATTAAATCCTTGTAGTTCTTCATTAAGAATTTGACCTAGATCTACTGTCATCTCTTAGAGGTGAATCTTGGTTATGCTTATCATGGATCCATCTCGTTTGATCTCTTTCCTCTATTTTATATATTTAAGTTTATTAATAACTTACTTGAACTTGCTTTCATTCTCAGTCTTTCAACGCTTGAGCCTCTTGAGTCTATTTTCTCTTTTTCAGTAACAATTTCTTCGACATTCTTAGGAATTTCAACTTCTGCTTATTTTTATTGCCTATTTTTACCGGAGATTCTTTCTGCAAGATCCTTTAGTTTTTTCTCATTCTTTTGAAAATCTTCATCTTCCCATCCTCTCAAAGCAGAATTCGCATTCATTCTCACAAAGCCTCTGCCTTTCTTAACTTTCCTTTCCTCACTTTAGTCTCTATCTCTTCTATCATAGTTTCTTTGATTCCCATATTAATTTCTATGATGATGCCTGTATTTATTGTCATTGTTATTGTTATCTCTATATCTTTTGCTGTCTCGATAACGATTGTTGTCTCTTGATCTACTTCTTTCAGGATTTCTTACATCTCTTCTATGACTATTAGATCTGCTTTTCCTTTATTATCTCTCAATACTTGTCTTATTATCTTTTCTAGAGATTGATGATCTTCGCTATCTATCGTTTGATCTTTTATGAGAACTAAATTCAAGTAAGAAATGTAGTATTTACTGATGAGATTTTTTATGAGTAGAATGTGTAGTTTTGTGATTTCTATTAATAATATAAGTATTTCTTTATTTCGTACCTTGTCCTACTATTCTCCCTAGAATCCTTTCTTTTCCTTGATCTATCACTTCTTGATCCATCACTTGAGGAACTTCTACTATTCCAGAATTAATCCAAACTTTTAAATACCTATTACTACCGCTTGCACTTGCATTAGATGAAGAACTTGAATGTCTTCTTTTGTGATGAGTTCTTCTACGATCTTTGCGATCATCATCTTTAGAAGACTCAGATGAACTGCTCATTGATTAATCTCGCTTTCCTCTCATTTTAATACTCAATTATTTAATTATAAATATTAGAAAAATTAAGTTTATTAGTTATAAATTCGATTATGATTATTTATAGCAAGATTATCAGTGATTTTGATTAGAAGTAACTAGTATGTTACCTGGTTCGTGCTTTTTCTTTTTATTACTTTACAAATGAGTTTTAATAACAGAAGTAAGTGCGTTACGACGAGCTGAAGCGGCTTTTAAATATTATTGAGAGCTGCCTTAGGTCGAATCTGCACCTGAAGGAGATCCATTTTTTTTAAGTCCAATCTACCCAAATTGATTATAACTTCTTGTATGAAGCTAACTAGCAGAATCTTCAAGGGCCTTTTTAGAAATAACACTCATATTCAACTTTGAATGTACCTCTGGTATATGTTTAGTCTTCATGAAATCCTTTACGAGTGCGGTTTTCTGAAAAGTAGACTAAATATGCCTGTTTCCACTTCTTTTACTATTTCCTTAGGTTATTCGACTTTCATTAAGAGTTATACAATGAGTGGTACTCATCAGAAGTGATGGGAAAACTCTTTAAGAATGCCTTCGAGCCTCTTACTTTTTCTTTGCCTATGCTATCATAGACTGAATGTTTTTCTTTTAATCAAAAGTTTGCCTCTTTGAGTCTAATTTATCTGGCACTTTAGGTTTCTTATATTAATAATATTTTTCCTCCTCCTCTTCTTCTTCCTCTGCTTTAATTTATGACAAAAGTTTACTACTTTCTTCAAATTTTGAATGAATAAGATTGGCTAAAGCTAACTTTATAGCACTTTTGTTCTCTTAATAGAACTATTCATTCACATCAGAATTAATTGAACTTCTCTCATTGCTATTATTAGAACTAAAAGACTCTTTTCTTCTAGGGCTAAACTAAAAAATTTGAGTGTCTTATTATTGATCTTTATTATTTTTATCATTACCAAGCTTTTAAATAACTATTGTACTCATTCTTCTTCCTGAATTAGAGACTTTCTAGATTGGCGGTAGTTTTATTGATTAAGTTTTTTCTTTATTCCATTCTAGGTTATCAAATCCTTAGTGAGTACTATTAAAGAAACTGTTTGAATCATTAAGGACTTAGTTGTTTTAAAATTATAATCTTTCGCTTGATTCAATCTCAGTGATTTTTGAATCTATTTATTATTCTCTAAAATTATCTCGCCTTGTATTTTAAAAACTTGAGTTACTTTTTCCTTTTGGATGAATAGGTGGCTTACTCTTTTAAATTTCAAGCCCTTTTACTTAATTCTGTATTTATACTTGAGTATCTTGGTTTATTTGCTGTATTTTAATGTTCCGAAAAATTTTATTTAATTTATCACTTATAAAATGCCCCTGTGAACTATTTTAATCTAGATTATTTTAGTCCATTAACAGTAACAACGCTTTGCCTTTTTTATCTTAAAATTTAGCCTCTTAACTTTGATAGCCATCAGACTTAAAATTTGCAAGCACTAAATTCCTACTTTTCTATTTTTTCTTGCTATTTATCTTCTTTATTCTTATTTTATGATTCATTATCAAGCTTTTCACCCTATCGATTTCAGCTTTTTTATATTGCAAATAGATTTGGATTGAAAGTTACATTAGTTTTTTCTTTAACAATAATACGATTTCAGATTTATTATAATTTCTCTTGAAATCAATTATTTCGATACGCTGTTCAATTAAATCTCTTGAATTACCTTTTCCTGTCAGACACCTGTCACTTTACCTTCTGAAATCACTATTAATTTTAATCAAGGGTGTCCTATTAAAATTTTTGTTGTTATTTACTAGTATCTAAAATTCATCAAATGTACCTGGCTATCGAAGAAGATCTTCATCCTCCTATAGTGTTTTAGTTTTACGTAAAAAAGCTTTCTACTACTCTGACTCTGTATTATTGTCGTTTATATTCTTAAAACTTCTATGCTTATGTTGAAGTTTTTATACCTGCCTCGGCTACTTACTTCTTTCCTACTAAGATCCTCTACTGACTCTCCTAGACTACGATGTAGAAAGTAAATCTCCACCAAGATTACTAGTTGATTGCAAGTGTTTTATTTCTATATTTATATTCTAAACCATATTTGCATAAACTTGGAAATCGTTAATTTATAGACTATTCGATTAGTAAAAGGTAAAAGTCTTATTTTAATCATTATGTCATGAATCCCCATCTCCATTTTTAATAAGAACTGAATTCCTAGCTTTAATGAAGCTCATATTAAAACATTATTGCGAATTTTTGAAATAGTCATCCATTCACTATTGTTTAATTTATCTTATTTTTTTAATATAAATCACTGAAGTTATTGTTATTCATTATAATTTAGTTATGAGGGGTTTTGGGGTTTTGGGGAGATCGGAAGAGCGTCGTGTAGGG